AGATGTTACAGCTGAGCTAATATATTCACATTGTGAGTTAATCCATGGCCATCTATAGTGTTCTGGACATCACACCAGGTACCGAGGACACAGGGGCGAACAAGACAAGACCTAATTGCTGCCCTCTCAAATAGAAACCTGTTCCAGATTTTATGCCACTACATCAGTCAGACAGAAACAGACACGAAAGGCTGAAAGTGAGTTGTGTTATATATGAAATGGTATGTAAATTATACTACGTATGTTAAGTATGTAAATTAATAAATGAGCAGGGCACCTGGCTAAATAATCTCAAAAACAATTTTCTCTATAAAGAGTATACCAAGCTTCCCCAGAGAGTTATGTACTGGCAATAATGAGCTATCCTGGAATCAAAGGATAACTGAGAAAATGCTTCTGTTCATTTCTGATAAACCAGTGCTACTAGGAGATATCGACTTGGACATAAGTTTTCATGATTTAAGTGTTACTCTAAGACTGACAAGATCATCTACAAAGAACAACAGAAATGAAATTTCTAAGGCATAGTATAGACCCATGGCAACTATTATAAGAGTCTTGTACATTTCCACTGAAACTACCTCTCATATCAGACTGCATAGGCTGGGGAAAGAGAGCGGGAGTTCTAGAAAAGGCAAGACCTTCTTGTTACACAGAATATCCCCTTTTGGGACAATCATTGTCTCGCAAAAGATACCAACTATGATTGATTTGACTAGATACTTCTAAGTATCTAGTTTCAGGTGGCACCAGCCAATCCAGAGACTTAGAGACAACTAGATATTCAGTCTGGAGAGAGGCTAAGAAATCAGAGCTAGTGATGGGGAGTTTCATGCTTGAAATTGAAACTGAGTATATGGATTTATTTCAGAGGGTAAGAGGAACACTGTCCACAGTCCTGTGAGCCCTGCTTTTCAGTGTGGATATGCCTGTGCTCTGACCTACAGCAAAGAAGGGGAAATCAGTGATGGACAATTAATGGGGAGAAGAAAAACTGAGAGTGAAAAATGTGTATGTGTGTGTGTGTGTGTGTGTGTGTGTGTGAGAGAGAGAGAGAGAGAGAGAAACAGGGAAGCCCATTGCCCACCGGGTGACGGCTGAGTCTCTAATTGAAAGTCTCCAGTGGCAGCCCATTCTAATAAAAACACAATTCAAACTCCTTTCTAAGACTTAAAATCTTCACATAAGCGGTCTTCCGCCTGCCTCACTGACTTCATTTCCTCTCTTGCCCTTTTGCACTTTTCTCCATCTACAAGTCCTCCAGACATCCCAAATTCATTTATGCCTCAGGGCCTTTGCAGTTACTGTTCCCTCTGCCTAGAATGCTCTTCCTTCAGCTCTTCACTTGACTGGCTCCTTCTCATCATTCACATCTCACTTCAAATATGCCCTCCTCACAGCAGCTCTCTGACTGCTCTAAACTGGCTTCCCCCATGCCCTGTCTGGCACGCGCCCACATTGCATTGTCTTTGTAACACTCATTTTTATCTGAAAAACGTTTTTCCATTTATTTGTATCTGGTTTATTGATTCCATTTCCCACAGAAACACAAGCTCTGTAAGAGTGGGAGCTTCATCTGTTTTGTTCAACACCGCATGACCTACCTAGAACATCTATTACATGGTGGGTACACAGTAAATATTGGTTAAATCTCAAGTCCCACCATATAAATGACTGTGGAAAGTCACGCAAGAGCCACTGCAAAACCACTCTCTGCTCCTTCGTTGCCCCACCAAAGCATAGTGACCATGACCCACAGCTACACCAACTCTGGGCCTGCTTCCACAACCCATGAAGGCAAGAGTAACGCTGTTTCCCTTGGGGAAATTTCCAGCTTCCTTTCCATTTCCTCATCTGGAGGCCTTATTCCCTCATCTCCCACAGACCTTTCCATTCCCAACCGCATAAAAAGTAAATCAATGTTTGAAGAATTCTTCAAAGACCAGCATTACTCTGTGCTACTGGATGAAATGATGGCATTGGCCCACTATGTTTCAAGTGTAAGGGGGAAGAGAGAATGCAGAAGAAGAGATCCTCTTCACTCAGCTTTCCAGTGTTGAAGGTAAGAAAATCTCCTAAGGGTTGGGTGCTTTCCTTCGCCTTTTCCCAATGGTCCAAGAAGGGGAAAGCGCTGATCAGATGCAGAAGCTTGTGACAGTAAATGGGAAGCTGGATGACCAAAAGATCTGCCCCCCGCAAAAAAAAAAAAGAAGAAAAGGAAAAAGAAATATGAATGAGACTCAGATCCTACTGCTCCGCACTCTCTTTTACCCTCATAAACTCACCCCCATAATATTATCGCTTCTTAGCCTGACTGTATGGCAGCCAAGTTCCTGACCGAGTCTGAGACACTTCCACCAATTCAGTCACCATCATGGGAAAGAACGCCTGCTACCCCACTGTGGTGAGGGAACTGTGCTTCTAACACCCTGACATGGAATCATAAATACAGTTTTCTACTGAAACACTGTAATGTCCAAGGCAGACAGCCTGTTCCATACATCAAGCTCACTCCAAACTAAATACTTTTTATTTCTAACTTATCAGGGTTCGATTGGAAATCGTGGTGTGTGCTGTTGTCCACTGTATTTGGGAGAAACAAGAGAGATTTATTTCAGCTGTGAGGGTGGGGCTGTAGCCCTGGGAAGATTTCTTCCAGGCAAGAAGGATGAGCAGGAACTTCAGTGAGAATATACACACCTTCAGAATGAAAAGAACTTTCAGAACATAAGCCAATGGAGATAACATGACCTTGTAAACCTGGCCAGACACAGCACACCCAAGGGCCATGTCAAAGATGTGGAGAAGATAGACGATAACTAATTGTTGAAAGTCTGAAGCTATCAGAAGGAAAGACAAAGTATGCAGAGCACCTGCTCAAGAAGCCAAGCATGAGGGGTAATTAAGAATTAATCTGTGGGGAGGGTGGGAGGGAGGGAGATGCAAGAGGGGAGAGATATGGGGACATATGTATATGTATAACTGATTCACTTTGTTCTAAAGCAGAAACTGACACACCGTTGTAAAGCAATTATACTCTAATAAAGATGTTTAAAAAAACATTAATCAAAAGAAAGGGAGACATGAATATTTGTAAGTATCTGCCGAAAATTATATGTGTAGCCATTATTCAGAGTATGTTTTCTGTATATATTTCTGCTTTGATTTAATAAATAGTTCTGAAAAAGAAAAGAATTAATCTGTATTCCGATCAGGGGGTATATAAATGAGCATTGTGGAAGGCAAAGGAGAAAGATATGCAAATGAATGGAAGAATTGGTGAAGAATGTCTGCTACAGAGGCTTCCTGGAATGGTGTAAGGCAGAGGTGAAGTGACCTTCCTGTGATCCATTCTAGGTCACTTAACCTTGGGCAGTCTCAGTATTTTTAACTATAACATAAGGTTAAGCATTCCTGTCTCATAGGGTGGTTGGGAAGATTTAATAAAATAGCATAGATTTAATAAAATAGCATTTAATGGCATTCTTCTGCCAAAACTGTTCCTCTATTCTTTTCTGAGCCCCGAAGATTTGTATTGATTCGGGGCATAAGAATAAATTGAGTACTTTTAACAAATCTACTGAAACAATCAAAATAGCAGTCTTGTTTTATTGCACCATAATACGGAGACACGGTACAATCTGCGGCTGTGACAGAGAGGGAAGCTGATAAAAATATTGCTCAAGAGAAGTCCCAAGGGCAACCAATGAAGACCTCCCCTCCCCCTCCAGGATTAAGGACAGTTTGAAGCCAGGAAAACACAGTTTCTAGAAGAGTTCTCACCTCATAAACCAAAGTTGCCATTATCTAAAGTGCCTCCGGGACAATTAGCCTATTCAGAGCGACAAACTATCAGTAGATAACAATCTAAGAGTGGCTCTTTGCAGATCTTCGTATTTAAAAGCAGTCGTAGGTGAAAGGAAAAGGAAGCGAAAACGAATCAATTTACAAATGTCAAATCAGCATGCTTTCGAATGGAAAATAACCTGCCACCCTGACCAGATCCTCCTAAATATTTAACATCTCCATATAAATAAAAACATAGTTTCATGGTCTGCAGTCAGGAGAGAAAGTTTTATGACCGGAAAGTCAAATATCCAAGCTAGCCTTGTAAAAGCGGCTATCAGAGACCAGAAGGTTAGTGTGAACTTGGGGCCAGAGGGCGAGGGACTTCTGGCCGATGGGCAGTTTCCTTATCTACCCCCGGCGGCGCTCCTCGTAAGCACATGCGACTTTGCTGAGTTTAGAATCTGCAGTTTACGTAGGTTCTGATATGCTGGCATGCAAGATGTCTTTCTCATCACCACTCCCAAGAACCGTTTCTGAACCATCATCTTTGAACAGCAACGCCCACCCCCGTCCCCAACCTCTCTCCCCGCTCTTCTACTTAAGACCCTCCCCCAAAAAACTGTTTTGGGTTTGAAAATAGCTTTTGATAGATTTTCTTTCAAGCCAAAAGAACAGCACACAGGGGCTGAGATCGCCAGGGAGCTTGGAAACAATCCGCCTCAAAACCACAAGCGTCTTCTCCCCTACCCGCTAAACTAACTGCAGCCCAAGTCACCGAAATTTTCTCACCGCCGCCCTTTCCTCCAAATTGCCTCGGAGCTGGGTTTGCTAGGTCTAGTTCCACCGTGACGGGAAGAAGGGTTTCTAGCAAAATTTTCTAAGGTAAAACGGGAGAACCTTCCAGACCTCTCGCCCCTGCTCGCGTACAGACCCTTTTACAGGCAAACAATAGTGAGCAAAGCGCCCATCACCCCCGTCGGCCTTTCCTGCGCGCAAGCTTCCAGCGCCCCTCCCGCCCCTCCCGGGAGAGCACCTGGGGCCGAGCGCCCCCGACTCCCTAAACCCGGGGGTACGGGACCAGCGCACGCAGGCTCCTGGGGGGAGGGGGGATTGGTGCGTGGAGGCGCGCCCCCGGCCCCTGATCCTCAGCCTCAGGGGCTGCAAAGCCCGCGGATCTCTCCGCTCCGCCAACCTCCCTCCCCCGGCGATACAAACGCGCGGCGAAGCGGGCGGGGGAGAGTTACCCGCCGAGGCCTCGGCGCGAGGACCGCTGAGCGTGCCGGGCTCCGGGGCCGGAGGCCCGCTGCTCTCGGCTCGCTCGTCGCCGCTAGCTCCAGCCGGCTGCTGCCTCTCCCGCGGCGCCTGAAGCATCGAGCCGCCGAAGCCCGCGGCCGGCGGTAACCGTAGGAAGGTGGCGCGGTTCAAAGGGCGGCGCGGGAAGGATTCAGTCTCCCTCGGACCCGGCGGGGGAGCGGGGAAGGACGCAGCGCCGCCCGGAGTCCCAGGCGTCCGCCGGCGCGTGCGCTGCCCGCCGCGCCCGGGTTCAGATCTCCGACGAAAGCGCCTAGCGTCTCCGGAGCCGCGGAGAAGCTCCTCCCGCTCGGCGGCTGGCGCCTGATGCGTAGTGGCCGCGGCCGCCCCCGAGTTCGCGGAGGAAGGTGCAATGCGGAGGGAGCCGGTGGGGCTCCCAGTCCCCGGGCCGGCTAGGCGGGAGCGCGGCCGAGCCCCTACCTTTCCGGCTGGGCGGACACCAGCCGCGCGCCCTCTCCGGGCGTCCCGGACCGGAAAATCACCGCGAAGGGGGCCGGGGGAAAGCGGCGGGTGGCTTCAGGACAAGGTAGGAGGATCAAGTTCCACAGCCAAGAAGACACTCCCATCCCGCCCTGGTTTGTTTGGCAAGCTGCAGGGGCGAAAGTGAGGGGCACCTCGGGTGCTCCCCCCCCTCCCCGCCGGGCTGGCAGGCGGCAGAAGTAAACACTTTTGCTTGGCGCGTTGGGGGACTTCTGTGACACGAGGCGGGGCAGGCGGTTTGGTTGCCTGCAGGAAGGGAGAGGGTGTTCAGAGAGACCAGAATTCCTGGGCTCTGCCCTTCAAGGACAAATGTGTTAGTGCTTTTTATCTTTTGGAGGAAACGTTACTTTAGGGAGAAGAACAAAGGTGAGACGTGCATTTTCTTTTCTTATTAAAGTAGGTCTCCCTTGAGAAAAGCGTCTTCATACTTGGATAGCTGTGAATACTTTTTTTTTAACATCTTTATTAGAGTATAATTGCTTTACAATGGTGTGTCAGTTTCTGCTTTATAACAAAGTGAATCAGTTGTATATATACATATGTCCCCATATCTCTTCCCTCTGTGAATACTTTTTTTTTAACATCTTTATTAGAGTATAATTGCTTTACAATGGTGTGTCAGTTTCTGCTTTATAACAAAGTGAATCAGTTGTATATATACATATGTCCCCATATCTCTTCCCTCTGTGAATACTTTTTAAATTTCAGTGTTTGTGATATAAATCACATGCCATCAAATGACCCCAGGGAGAAGAGCCACAGACTTGGGTGCAATTCAGAGTAATGTGTCAGGCACTGAAACAAAGTCCTCTGTCTGTGATGGACCTTCTGGTATTTGTATTAATTTTAACAACAGCCCTAGGAGGCAGCACTTGTTATTTTCCCAGTTCTCCTATCAAAAAACCCAGAGGGTTCAGAAAATTCCTATCCCTTTCCCTTTCTACAAATTGCCTTTGAAGTAACCCACACAGATTTTGTCATTTTAAAGGTGGTTCTTGAGACATCAGAGTCGTGAAAGATGTTTAGGGAATTTTTCCATCTGGGCCCATTTTTCTTGAGGTTACTTTGCTCTTTTAGGTTCTCCTGAGTTTATTACTCTTCTCTTGTTCATGATTTTCAGAATTAAAGCAATGGCATACCTCCTCCCCTCTGGCTTTCCTAGGATTGTTGAATCTGCAACGCCATGTGCTAAGGGGAGAGGCAATCCACTGTTCTTAGGTGACATTTGTTCTTCTTCATGGTCAGTAGTGACCAAGAAGGCACTGTTCACCCTATAACCTAATTCAAATTCCACCTCCTCCTTTGGCCTGCACTGTGACCTTGAGCAAGTGACTTAACCTCAGTATACTTCCTTTTGGCCACCTCTACAGTGAGATAGTACAACCTATCTTCAGGGGTTGTTAGGAGGATGAAAATAGATGATAACATAGAGAATTCTCAGCACAGTGCTCATCTCAAAAGAAACATCAATCCAGGAAGTAGGAATATTTGCTGCCAGTCCTTTCCCATCATGAGTCAGCAACCCTCCATGTATCATGTCTGTTTCTCTCATTCATCCTGCAAACCAGAATAATCTCATCCTAAAAATGATGAAATGGGGTCAAGAGGTTAAGTAATGAGCCCAAGGTCATACCACCTATTTTGGAGCAGTGATTCGAATGAAAGTGCCCGGAACCAAAATCAATTTTCTTTCCGGAATGTCATATCACTATGAAACTATCTGGGGTAAGGGCTTTTGACCTGTAAAACTTTTTTTTTTTTTTAATGCAGGATACATTATTGCATGGGCACATGATTGCAACTATGTAAAAATTTTGAATTCTTGTGGAAGGTGATAAAGAATTAAGCAGGGTGAATTTGTAGCCGTCTCTGGGATAGGGTTTTTGGTAACTTTTTTGGCGGGGGAGGGATGTTTTCACAATGTAACTATAACTCAGCCTTTGTGTAGAAGATTTATTCTAATGAGGTGGGAAGGGAAGGGCCAGGACTACTGGGACATGCAGGGTCTTTTAAAGATCCCTGAAATCATAATATTTAGGCATTGTACACATAGAGCTGGCCTTGTTTGCTAGGTTTGTTTTTTGATTATGGATGGTGCAATCTCTCTGAATTAAAATGATGTTGTCTCATGGGATGTGTCCCAGGGTATCCAGGGACAGGTGAAAGCCAGGTTCCCCGCACTACCCTGGGGTACTACTCAGCACTCTGTAGAATCACAGTCTAGAGTAAGGTTCAAGAAAGTAGTATTTCTTCTTCACCCCAGTATACAGCCTGCCTTCCAAATTCTCATGCCCCATCCCAAGTACAGGCTTTCTTGGCATGATTGATCTAGGACTGTCTACTCCATGCAGGAGAGACCTACTTGTAGGGGTGTGCTGTCAGCAAGTCACATCAGATCATAGTAGATGAACCCCAGGACTGGAGATACCCACAAAGTGAAAAGAGGCCACTTTCGCACAATATCCCCTTATAAGTTAATAATAATTTTTTAAAAAAAGTTTTCGTAACATTCTCAAATCTTGGGGTATTCAGTTTTAAACGATACCTGACTCAGGACTGACCTTGACCAAGCTAACCCTTTTTACATACAATCCTTCCTCCAACTCTACATAAATATCCTGCCAGCCCTGTCTTTATCTCCTGCAAGCAATTATTTAAACAACATGTGCAGGGCCTTCCTTGGCAGTCCAGTGGTTAAGACTCCGCACTTCCATTGCAGGGATGGGTTTAGTCCTTGGTCAGGGAACTAAGATCCCAAACACCGTGTGGTGTGGCAAAAAAAAAAAAAAAAAAATCG